AGGAAGGAAGGAAGGAAGGAAGGAAGGAAGGAAGGAAGGAAGGAAGGAAGGAAAGAAGGAAGGAAAGGAGGGAGGGAGGGAGGAAGGGAGGAACTGAAAACCTAAGAAAAGAAAGGAGGGGGAGAGATGTATAAAATGAAGGCCAATGGAACAAGGAACAGTTAGGGCTACTATAATAAGGTGCACCTGAGACTCATCATCTCCACAAATTACCACAACTTCTATACTTCTTTCACCACTGTCCAGCACTTTTGTTGCACTATGTACTTTCCTGAAGGAGTAAACCAGAACTTCCTTCCTGAAATGTCTGAGCTGCTTGGTACTGTACCATTGTCCACTGTCGTTGCTGTTTTCACTCATTGGTGGTTATCGCCGGGCATGGACACAGAAGGAGATTCATCAGTGTTATGGGTTGACTTGTGTCTCCACAAATTCATACTCAAATAGAGTCATTGAAAATGTAATTAGTTAAGATCAGATCATATTGGAATCAGTTAGGCCTCTGATTCAATATGACTGATGCTTGTCTAGAATGAGGATGTTCAGAGGCAGTGTGCTCTAGAAGGAAGCTAACATAAGAGACACATGGAGAAGACACACATCTACAAGTCAAGGAGAGAGACCAGGAACAGATACGTTCCTTACAGTCTTCAGGCAAAAACAACATTGTCCACACCTTAAATTCAGACTGCTAGCCTTCAGAGCTATGAGAAAATAAATTTAAGCCACTTGGTTTGTAGTACTTTATCATGGCAGTGCTAGTAAATTAATATATTCAGTAAATCTCCCGAGCTACAGATAGATTCCCCTAAGTTCTTTGACTTCAGGATAATTACTCCTAAACAAATAGGAACTCTCTTCTTTGCCTTCTGCTCTGCTGACATGAAGAGTGTAAAATGACAGGGCAATAACTATTACTTTTGATTATGCAAAAGAAATTGAGAAGAAAATATTCTCATTTTAATTCACACAGAAGTAAAAAAGAAAAAGCCAAATTGGACTACAGTGTTACAACTTGATAGAAGGATTATCTGTTTGGGGTAATGAGTAAGAGAATATAATCTAAATGGGATGAATTTCTGTTTCCTAACCTGGTAATGGAATCAGATGCATTTACAAAGCAATCTCAAGTCAGAAATTAAAAATTGGCATTCTTCCTAAATGAATCATGTACCTGAAAAATGTTTAAACATGTTACAACTCCAGACAAATCAGGTGGCATCTCAACTAACTTAATTCCTTCATGAAAAGAAATACAGAAGAAATGGCACTGACTGTGCTGGTAACCAGGCTTAGGGCTGAGACACGGCTCATGCTGGCTGGTCTGAATCTAAAGCAGTTATGTCAGAGAAAGTCCTACATTCTATTCCTGGTAAGCCCTCACTCCCAGACAAATCAGAATGAATGGTCACCCCAGGGCAAAGAGTGCTTGATGCTATCTAAATCCCAGTGGACTTCTCCTTGTACCCACCTACTTCAATTCTTCTCTGCCACATAGAACACACGGTGCCAAACACCCTCTTCCCAAGTGATTTTGGTGGAACTGAAAGACACAGGTGACGTGTTCTACAGAGAGATGCCTGTTAGACTTGAATCAGACTTTGGTAGCTGAGCAGTTTTGGGCACAGACATGGCTTCCTTTGGTCACTGTAAAAATATGATCATCACACTTTTCCCCGCAGACACTTCCCAATCTACATACAGCCAAGGAAGGAGGTTGGTAGAGAGAACTTGAGCCTCCCAGTCACCAGAAACTATCACATGACCAGAAGATGGTCAGAGCAGGAACCATGCTGATGATGGCACGGGCTTCCTTTTATCTGAAACAAAGTTTCTGTGAGTAATTCACAATTAAGAAACAGATTAAACCCTTACCTTCAAAAGATTCATAAGATTTTAAAAACAACTTCCCCTTTGACAATCCCAAACGGACTGTGGAAAACAATGTAAACAACAACAAGGAAAAGTCCACCTGATTGGTGGAAACTTTGGAGGCCACCTGTTTAAAAGGCCCAGATTGGAAGGAGTCACCAGATTCTGGGAAACTCACCTCTGAACAGGAGCCCACCCTCCACCCCTGACACCATGACCCACTGCTGCTCCCCTTGCTGCCAGCCTACGTGCTGCAGGACCACCTGCTGCAGGACCACCTGCTGGAAGCCCACCTGTGTGACCAGCTGCAGCAGCACACCCTGCTGCCAGCCCTCCTGCTGTGTGTCCAGCTGCTGTCAGCCTTGCTGCCGCCCAACTTGCTGTCAAAACACCTGCTGCAGGACCACCTGCTGCCAGCCCCTCTGTGTGACATGCTGCAGCCAGCCCACCTGTGTGACCAGCTGCTGCCAGCCCTGCTGCCGCCCAGCCAGCTGTGAGACGACCTGCTGCAGGACCACCTGCTGCCAGCCCACCTGTGTGACCACCTGCTGCCAGCCTACCTGTGTGTCCAGCTGCTGCCAACCTTCCTGGTGCTGATCAGCATTGCCAAAGACCATCATCCTAACACAACAACCTTCTGACTTTTTTTTCTGAAACAGAGTCGCACTCTGTCACCCTGGCTGGAGTGCAGTAGCGTGATCTTGGCTCACTGTAACGTCTGTCTCCCAGGTTCAGCCAATTCTTCCGCCTCAGCCTCCCAGCTAGCTGGGATTACAGGCCTGTTCCACCATGCCTGGCTAATTTTTTGTATTTTTAGTAGACACGGAGTTTCACCATGTTAATCAGGCTGGTCTCAAACACCAGACCTCAACTAATCCACCCACATTGGCCCCCCAAAATGCTGGGATTACAGACATGAACCATCGTGCCCAGCCCCAAATGACTTATCTTTCAGGGAACATCTTTACTTTCCAAGACAATATGCTCTCACCAATTTCTCTCTCTCTTTTTTTTTTTTTTCTGCATGTTTAAAATCTTGTGAATGAGCTTGAGGGAGGGCAGAGTTCTTCATCCTGATTCTCTTCTTCTTACACTTTGGGGATCATGGGCCGGCTTCCTGTGTCCTCAATTGGAGTCATGGTCTCAGCTTTGACTCTAAAGTCAAGAGCTTCATTCTCTGCTTCTCAGAAATTTAGATTTCTGCAATGGATATGTAACCTTGGCAATCATATTTTCATTTTCAATTTCCTCCTCATGGTTTTTTACACTTCTTTCTTCTTTTTATGATAACTCTGGACTATGTGCCTCATAGCAGAGATTCTTACGTATATGTTTCTGAATAAATTCTGAGCCATCCTCCATCTCATATGGTGCTTTGTTTTATTCTACAGAATTGCTTAAATGGAATTTACACACATATCCCATGCTATACTTAACATCCATGTTGATTCTGAAAACAGATGCTTATGTGTTATTACCTCAATTTTTCAGCTGAGAACAATTTAATGTGTGATTTGATGCAGCTAATATAGGACAGACTCGGGTGCAAGGTGAGATCTTCGCTTTCTGCCTGAGAACACTCCTATTCAACTCTCAGTAAAGTAGAAATGATATTGGGATTCAGTAAGAGCAAGACATGCACTGAGTTCATTGAACATGGGCGGTATAATCTCTCATATTTGCAGATAACATTTCTGTTCTGTTCACAAAGGTCTTCCCAAATTAGTTTTCCACACCTCAGTGAGCAACAGATACATGGTATGAAAACAGGGACTGCATTTAATAGCTCCCCTGAATGTGGCTCTTTTTTCCTCTCTGCCTCTGACCAACTATTTATTCAATTAATCTGCATCAAACATTTGTCAGAATGCATGGTGTCCCATGAAAGAGAGTCTCATTTGGGGATTTATATCATGTAAATAATATTCTTATTTGGCTTCCTTCTCCTGATTTCAAGGGAAATCCATAGAATTTAAGAAGGAGGAAAAATGGCCGAACTCTCTCATTCCTGGAAGACACGATAGATGGAAGACTGGTGCTTTTGTTCCTGAACTGATGATGCAACCCAAGTGTTCAGTCATGGAACGATTGACTGATACTGGCCCTGAGAGAAATAGAAAAGTTACGGACCTGGGCCACCATCTTGGCACCTCCTACCAGCATGGAAGTCTCATTTGGGGATTTATATCATGTAAATAATATTCTTATATGGCTTCCTTCTCCTGAATACCTGTTGACAAAACAAAATGAAAATTATTTCCTCTAAAATGTGCACAATACATTAAGCAACATTAAGTCAAATTGTCCCTAAAATCAAATTGTTATTAGGAAAATTAAGTAAAAAATAATTGGGGATTGAGGGACTATCCAGTGGGCATGTATGGCGTTGCACAAACCATAATCTCTGTGCTGACTAAAGGTAGAAAACAACATTTTGAGTTTTGTGAGACAAATAGGAAGCATCTAAAGAAACCAATTCTTCTGATTTCCAGGGAAATCAGTAGAATTTAAGAAGGAGGAAAAGTGGCAGAACTTTCTCATTCATGGAAATCACGATAGATGGAAGACTGGTACTTTTGTTCCTGAACTGATGATGCAACTGAAGTATTCAGTCATGGAACGAGTGATTGATACTGGCCCAGAGAGAATTAGAAAACTTAGGGACCCGGGCCACCATCTTGGGACTTCCTACCAGCATGGGACGGGTAAAAATCCCTCTGATGAGCTAACAATGTAGGTTTCCAAGACAGATGCCAACTTCTGAGGTGGTGTATCTAGAATGTTCTGAAGAGTCAGCTAAGAGACAAAAGTCACTGACTGTGATAGTCATTGTGTGACGGCGTAAAGAAGGTGAAGAACTATCACATTCTTTTGGCCAGTTTTGCAAGATGAGTAACTTCTGCAGATTTAGTGTACAACAAGGTGACTATAGTAAACAAAAATGTTTTATTGTATACCTGAAATTTGGTAAGAAGTTAGATCTGAGCTGTTCGTACCATAAAAGTGAAAGGAAAATGTAACTATGTGAGCTAAGGAATATATTATGATTTTACGGTAAATATATATATCATGAAACAACACCTCATACACTTTAGATATACACAATTTTTATGTTTATTTGTCAATTATGTCTCAATAAAGCTAGTAAAAAAAAGAAGTTAGTTAATGTACTTAATTGTTATTCATGTTTTATTATCTTCAACATTAAAACTAGAAGTTCTATGGACATAAAAACAACTAATATGTTCTAGCTTGCCTACTATTTCACTGGTATTGACTAAATGCCTTATGGATATTATCATTAATTCTTGAAGAAACATTCAAAATAGGTGTTAAAGTTCCCATTATAGAGATGAGAAAATTGAGGTGAGAGAGGAAGTGTAGTAACAGAGTTTGGTTTTCCCATAACAAACTCTGAGGAAAATATTCCAGTGAAAGTAGTTTATTGAAAAGTATGGATCACAAGAGCAGATGCTGGAGAAATGATGAAGAAAAGGTTACACTAGGGAGTGGATCCAAGATGGCCGTTTAGGAACAGCTCAGGATTGCGGTTCCCAGTGAAAGCTCAGAGGGTGAGTAGACCCCACATTTTTATTGCCGAGAGACTAGGAAATTCCCAGGCGGAGGAGTTCCTCGGGTCGCCAGCACCACTGTTTCGGCCAGCGCAGCTGCGTTGGCTAGAGCTGCTGCTTTGCCCTGCATGGCTGCTTTGTCAGCACCCCGGCGCAGCAGTTTTCTATACAAAATACACTGGTCTGGGTGCCCTTTTGGCTGGCGATTGGAGCCATGGGAAGTCGCTCATTCATCTGTTTAAAAAGGAGACTGAACAGGGAACCAGGACAGTAGATTCCAGGGCAAAAAAAGCACCACGAATCTCAGTGCTGCTGTTTAAGCCAGTGCAGTGAGTCGCCGCATGGGAAAACACACAGATCCCGGCGCCTCTTCAACAAGTGACTGGAACACCAACTTAAAAAAAAAAAGGTTCTGAGGCAGGGAGCCAGGCGATCAGGCTCGGCTGGTCCCACCCCCACAAAAGAACAGCAATCAGAAACTCTCTGGATTGAGAGTTTCACAGCAAGCGCAGCTGAACCAGGGATGGTCCAGCTCTGTGGCGGAGGGGCGTCCGCCATTACCGAGGCACTCCAAAACTACGGGGGAAGTCAGCCAATACTGAGGCAGTCAGCCATTGCCAAGGCAACCCTCCATTACTGAGGCAGCCCGCTGTTGCCAAGGCAACCCACCACTACAGAGAGACTCCACCATAACAGTGGCGGGCCACCATTGGTGAGGCAGTTCTACTTACACCCATATAAACAGGACTGCAGGGAAGTTCACTCGGCAGCTGGGCGGAGGCCACAGCAGCTCAGCAAAGCCTCTACAAGCAGACAGTGACTAGGCTGCCTCCTTGCTGGGCAGGGCAGCTCTGAAGGAAAAAAAAGAAGGCAGCAGCATAAGGAAACTCATAAATAAAGCCCTAAATCCCTGGGACAGAGCATCTGGGGAAAAAAAAGCGGTTTATGAGTTTTGCTGCAGCAGACCTAAACGTACCTGCCCAGTAGCTCTGAATGAACAACGGAGCTCACAGCTCGGCATTTGAGCTCCTATAAAGAGCAGACTGTCTCATCAAGCAGCTCCCTGACCCCTGTATATCCAAAAAGCCACCTCATAAAGGAGAGATCAGACTGACACTTGGCAGGTATCCTTCTGGGACAAAGATGGCAAAGAAGAAAACTGTTAACAACCCTTACTGTTCTGCAGCTGGTGCAGGTGATCCCCAGGCAAGCAGGGCCTGGAGTGGACCTCAGCAGACCTACAGCAGAGGGACCAGACTGTTAGAAGGAAAACTAAGAAACAGAAATAACCTCATCATCAACAAACAGAAAGTCAACTCAGAGACCCAATCTGAAAGCCAGCAACTACAAAGACAACAGGTGGACAAATCCACAAAGATGGGAAGAAACCAGCGCAAAAAGGATGAAAACACCTGAAACCAGAACACCTCTCCTCCTACAAGGGATCACAACCCTTCACCAGCAAGGGAACAAGGTTGGATGGAGAACCAGTGTGATGAAATGACAGAATCAGACTTCAGAAGGTGGGTAGTAAGAAACGTCTGTGAACTAAAAGAATATGTTCGAACTCAATGCAAAGAAACTAAGAACCTTGAAAAAAGATTTGACGAAATGCTAACGAGAATGGACAAAATAGAAAGGAATATAAGTGAATTGATGGAGCTGAAAACACAACACGAGAACTTCACGAAGCATGCACAAGTATCAACAGCCGAATTGACCAAGCAGAAGAAAGGATATCAGAGGTCGAAGATCAACTCAATGAAATAAAAAGGGAAAGCAAGAATAGAGAAAAAAGGTTAAAAAGAATGAAAAAAGTCTCCAAGAAATGTGGGACTATGTGAAAAGACCTAATCTACGTTTGATACGTGTACCTGAATGTGACGAAGAGAATGAATCCAAGCTGGAAAATACTCTTCAGGATATTATCCAGGAAAACTTCCCCAACCTAGCAAGGCAGGCAAATATTCAAGTCCAGGAAATACAGAGAACACCACAAAGATATTCCTCAAGAAGAGCATCCCCAAGGCACATAATCGTCAGATTCACCAGGGTTGAAATGAAGGAGAAAATACTAAGGGCAGCCAGAGGGAAAGGTCGGGTTACCCGCAAAGGGAAGCCCATCAGACTCATAGCAGATCTCTCAGCAGAAACCCTACAAGCCGAAAGAGACTGGGGGCCAATATTCAACATCCTTAAAGAAAAGAACTTTCAACCCGGAATCTCCTATCCAGCCAAACTAAGCTTCATAAGTGAAGGAAAAATAAAATCCTTTGTGAACATGCAAGTACTCAGAGATTTCGTCACCACCAGGCCAGCTTTACAAGAGCTCCTCAAAGAGGCTCTACGCATATAAAGGAACAATCAGTACCAGCCACTCCAAAAACATACCAAATGGTAAAGAGAATCAACACAATGAAGAATCTGCATCAACTAATGGGCAAAGCAGCCAGCTAGCACTAAAATGGCAGTATCAAACTCACACATAACAATATTAACCCTAAATGTAAATGGACTAAATGGCCCAATCAAAAGACACAAACTGGCAAATTGGATAAAAAGCCAAAACCCATCAGTGTGCTGTATCCAGGAAACCCATCTCACATGCAAGGATACACAAAGGCTCAAAATAAAGGGATGGAGGAAGATTTACCAAGCAAATGAAGAGCAAAAAAAAAAGCAGGAGTTGCAATTCTCATCTCTGATAAATTAGACTTTAAAACAACAAAGATCAAAAGAGACAAAGAAGGACATTACATAATGGTAAAAGGATCAATGCAACAAGAAGAGCTGACAATCCTAAACATATA